GGGCGCGGCCGAGCCAAGTGCCTCCCAGCCCGCGGGTGCAGGGAGCGGCAGGTCGCTGTGGGGAGGCGCCGGGCTTCTCCTGCTCTGCGCCCCCACTCCGCCCTTTCCCTGCCGCCCGGGCCCCTTGGGCAGCCCTGGCAGCCAACTGCGCGAGGGGCAGTGCGCTCCCCGGCACCTGCGCGGCGGCAGGCTCCCCTGCGTCCTCCGCCTCCAGCCCTGCATGGCAGGGGAATTGCTGGAGGCTCCCCGTGTGCCCCTTGCCATTTGCTGTGGGCTGCAAGTATTTCAGGACCGTGAGCGCCCTTTCCCTGCCGCCCGGGCCCCTTGGGCAGCCCTGGCAGCCAACTGCGCGAGGGGCAGTGCGCTCCCCGGCACCTGCGCGGCGGCAGGCTCCCCTGCGTCCTCCGCCTCCAGCCCTGCATGGCAGGGGAATTGCTGGAGGCTCCCCGTGTGCCCCTTGCCATTTGCTGTGGGCTGCAAGTATTTCAGGACCGTGAGCATCCAGGAAGGGGGGTGTTTAGCTAGAAGCAAAGGAACACAAGTGGGTGGGACGGCATGACCGGCAGAGAGTTAAAGCCGGAGGTGAATGTTGGACCAGGTGGGAAGCCCCTGGCATGCATGGGAGGCAGGCAGGGCTAGGCAGGGCAGTGCACCAGACAGTGAGAACCCGGCGCTGTCGGGGGTAGAGGAGGTGACGCTCTTGTTCAGTGCTGTGTGCTGCCCATCGCATCCGACTCCAGAGGGGAAAGTCGGACACCTCCATTCTTTCTGAAGCAACTCGGACTTGCAAGCTGATGCACAAGGCAAAGATCTGAAAGCAGATAAGCGTGCCTGGACTCTACTACCCCTTAGAGCTGACACCCCGGGGTGCCAAACGCGATGCTGGAGTAGTACCTTTACTTTGCAGGGAAGCAGAATTAAGGATGATCACTGCATTCAGGAATGGTGCCCCCATAGAAAGGAGTTTCCTGTCTAGTGCTCAAAGTGATTATCTTGACAGCAGTGATGTCAAAACCGGTGCACAGATGAAACCATTCTCATCACCCTCCCCATATGTAAACTCTGAGTAAATACTTTGTCCTTAAAACTTTCCATAGAAGGATTTTTAAACATTTCAGACACTTGGGCATTCATATTTTGTTATATAAACTGTTTATGTAATGTTTCCTGGAGCTGTTTTCAACTGGAAGGCTGACTGTTGGTGTGTTTTTTTTAAAACAGCCTGTTATGGGGAAATAATACAATCAGTTGCAAAAGTAAAATATCTTGGGGCAATTGGTTCAACAGAAAAAAAATTACTGGAACAGGAACCATATGATTTTTTTCCTGGATATTTTAAAGGTGAATCATGGTGTGCACCACATGCACTTGTTCATCATTACTAAAGACTGCGGATCAGTGGCATGTATACTATATAGGGTTTGAACTAGCATGTACTTAAATTTAACGATTGTGTGTGAATGTGGAGAAAGCACCTCTCTTTGGATGTGAAAAAGCTGTTATGCATTTGTGGCTGACAGTGTGGAAATCTTTATGCTTTAATACCAGTATGCTATCTTGCTTCGGTCTTGTGGTAAACAGCCCTATGCCAGAAAACTGTCACAGCTCATCATCTGCAACACTTTGCATCCATCAGCCTGGGTTTTCTTATTTGGAGAAACATGCCATTTAAAAGGCTTTGCTTTGTCTCCTTGCCCCCACTGAACATGAAATGGCTTTGTGTGTGCACACAACAAAGACCTGTCCCATTGAAGTCAAGGGCATAACTCCCATTGACCTCAGTAGACCCATGATTTGACCCCAAATGAGAAAGGAACTACAGGATGGATACCAAGCCCATTAAAATCAATAGGGCTATATGAGTAAGGGCTTGAAGCTGCTGGGTTGAATGGGTCTGAGAGGTGATGAGTAGTCTCAACTCCTATAGACTTCAATGGGAGTTTGGTAGTCAGCATCCCATGACAGAACCCAGCCTGGTCAGAGAGAGCCCTGAAGGGATAGGTCTCTAAAAAGGCTATAGACAAGTGGTTTATTTACACTGCTCATTTGAAGTAGAATGCATTATGCATCTGAACTGTTGTTGTAGCTCCTTGTGGCAGGACTGTGGATGACATCCTGTCACCAGTGAAATCATTATTATTGACTTTTTCCATGGGTCCAGGATTTGGTCCTGTGTCTCTGTGTGCTGTATAATGCTGCACAAAAAAAGATAGTGCTCTATGTTAACTTTCAAAATCATACTGCAGTCCTGACAAAGCACTCCTATCTCAAGTCTTCCCCAAAGTGCTTTCTTGTAGAGGTAATGAGCTTAAGGTGAAATGGCAGAGGGCACTACAGAAAGCATTCACTTGTTTGCTGAACAGGTAATTCCCCTGTGTTGGGTAACTACCTCAACAACCCAAGAAAGCTATCAACACTTAAATTAAACCAGCCCATGGCAGGCCTCATTGATAATACACATGATAATAGCACTTACTTACCGGCCTCTCAGATGAGCTGTATAGGTTAGTTAATATTTGTATAATGCTTTGCAAAGGCTCTCTAGAAGACTGAAGTGTTAACTGAATTTTACAGTTGTGTTTATTTACTTTTATGGGCATGAGTGTGTTCTGTCTTTGAGTTAGGATTGCTTAATTTTAGCTATAGCTTATTCCCGGAGGTGACTTAGTAAAATAAGTTTCTTGCTCAGTAACAATTTCCCAAGAGTGTTTATCCAATGCAATTCACCTGTTTAAGTACTTTTATAATAAATGTATAGACCCAGTGTTCCACACACTTTTCCATGTAGTCTGTATAACCTGAATGGGTCATTGTTAGTAGCAAGTAGAAACCTGGAGGAAGATAAATGGCATCATTAAGCCTACCTCTCCTAGTGAAGGGGAGAACCCCAGTACAATTATTGCCCGGTAGACAGGAGTTGGATAATTCTAATATCCCCCAGACAGGATGTATTAGATGTTAAACTGAAATAACACTCAGAATTAGCAAAATGTTCCAAAAAGGGAGTGGAGGGGCAGGTATCATCCATGTACAAAGCTGGTTATGATAAAGAACATATTATGCATCTAAAATATCTTGGTATGCCCATCTTGGAGTCCTTAGAGCCCTTTTGTTTTAAAGGTAAATGGTTATGGGTCATAAAATCCAATTTAATTCCTGAGAAACTGCCAGTTTCTTTACAAATAGATGGAAGGTTTATAGTAAAAAAACTACCAAACCATGACTGTAACTGCAAAAAGCTTCATATTGAACTCCCAGGGTAACTTTTATTTTCTGCTTGGACACTTGAATTGTATGAGTCTTAAAAATCAAAAAGACTTCTAGACAAACCTAAGCAAAAACTAAACAGACTAAATTGCAGGGCAACTCACCAGCAACGTTTCAACTGAAGGTTTTTCTTTCAGAGTGGAGAGCAGTGTGGGATGCTGGCTGCAGATGGAGAGTTTGGGGAAGGGCGTTGACTATTGGAGGGCATAGGTAGAATGCTGTGAAATATTTTTACCACACTCTTGACTTCACTTAAGCTGTATTAACCTCGAAGTTCAGAGAACTATTATTTGCACAGCAGAAACACTAAAGTACATCAACTGACTCTCCTCCTACAGCTTACCTCCCTTTCTCCTGCATCATCTGGACCATGGGCAGAGGTACAAGCAGGGTTTGTGCCCTGGGCAGTCCTGGGGGAGAGGTGCTGCTGAGCTCAGAGGGGCACTGGTTCCAAGTTGTGGGGGTGCACAGGAATCTCACCTATGGTAGGGACTCAAAAACAGTGCCCAGTGGTGGTGGCAGCAAGTGCTGCCACCACAGCTACTACAGTATGATCTGCCCATCCCAGCTGTTGCTCTTAAAGCAGTAGTGTGGTGTCTATGCACCCAGCTGCTGCTATAAGAGCAATGTTGTAGAATTGCTTTTGCTACCACAGCATGAACTCTGAGAGGATTGGGGGGTGGGGAATCCTGGCACTCCTCCAAAGTTGGTGCCCAGGTCTGGTGCCCTGCTTGCCCATCCCTAGTTCTACTGCTGTCCGCGTATGCTTGGACCAGCCCATCTCCATAGTTTTATGACTTTCCTATGACTGCATAGGTCTCCTTTTGGATCTTGGGGTAGGGAGGGCTATTCAACACCTTCCTCAAATACTAAAAATATTTGTGGGATTTTCAGGAAGCTTCACTCCAAACCCACAGGACCTCCTGGGATAGTTCAGAAAGGAGCTTGACTTTCCCTAACATGGAGTAGAAAGAGGAGGCCTTCCATTTCCCACTGCAGTGGTGCCATAGTAAGCCCAGGAGTTACTGGGCTTCATAATGTTTATTACGGTATGTGAGGATTGCACTGTAGGCTGAGCACAAAGCCACGACAGTTGTGTTGCTCTAAATTGACATTGTATTTTCCTCCACTTAGGGCTAAGCAATGTTGTTGGAGTTGGGTCTCACTGTGAAAAAGCATGCAACCCTAGGATGGGAAACCTAGCTCACGGACGGAGATTGTGGACAGATACCACATGTGGACTCAACTCCACAGAGTTTTACTGCTCATACAGTGAGAACGCAGACCTGACCTGTAAGCAGCCCAAGTGCAACAAATGCAATGCTGCGTATTCCCACCTGGCTCACCTGCCCTCTGCCATGGCTGACTCTTCTTTCCGATATCCACGCACGTGGTGGCAGTCAGCTGAGGATGTACACAGGGAGAAAATCCAGCTGGATTTGGAAGCTGAATTTTACTTCACTCACTTAATCATGGTGTTCAAGTCAGCGAGGCCAGCAGCAATGGTTCTAGAGCGATCTCAGGATTTTGGGAAAACATGGAAGCCTTACAAATATTTTGCCACTAACTGTTCAGCAACCTTTGGCCTAGAAGATGATGTGACAAAGAAAGGAGCAATTTGCACTTCTAGATACTCAAGTCCCTTTCCCTGCACTGGAGGAGAGGTAAGTTCACTCGTATTTTAAATTGATGCTGACAAATAAGTTGAACTGGAGCTTACAGTTGTTTCAGAGCATCCATGTCTCTACTCCATTTTAGAGTAGTTTTACAATTTCATTTTTTTATTATCATAAATGTTTCTCTCTTTCTTGGTGCTTTGTGGAAAAATCTACACAAATTGCAAGGTACCTGAGAGTAATGGCAATCACAAAGGTACTGTTAATTCTACAAAATGATCACATTGGAAAGAGAGAGGTTTTCCCCTCCAATGTCTGTCTAATTCTGAATTTTTACTTGTAACAATAGCAAGTCCAAATTTTGATCACAATGTGATTATTGATAAATTGGTGGTGTCTATGTTTCCTTTAAATATTTATCACTTCTGTCAATGAGTTAGCATGCAAACCAGCTAAAAAGAACTACTGATTTAAATATCATTTTATTATGTAAATGTAATTCTGTAGAAGAAAGAAATGCTAGTTAACTAAGAAACCCCACTTCCATACCTCTTTTGTACCTGAGAAATGAAGTAAACCAGAGAAGCAGAATGGCTAAAAGAAAAAAGGAAAGGTTTTTTCCCTATGTGATAAAAAAATGGTGTGAGAACACTAGAATCTTTCCAATACTGCATACAACAGAAAATTTTAAGAGCTGCTCCAGAATGTACTATTTCTGGTTTTTGCTTAAATTGGTAACTCAAGCAGTTAGATTCTATCTAGCTAAGCCCCATCATGGGGATGGAGATGTTTCCAGTTCCTCTCATTGGGTTTACACTTTCCATTAGTGGTGAAGTATCCTCAATGGAGGGCCTATTAAGATTTTAAAGCCTGCTTCCCCCTAGTGGTATACCAAGAGTTTGAGCTTCAGTTCAAAGTGGTGGTGGTCAGAACTAGAATCATAGAACTGTATTTTGTTTTCCTTTGGAATAAAATAGAAGAATGAATGATAGGTATTAACAAACAGGAAAGTAAATTATTAATGTAGCTACACTGTAGTATTGCTAATTGTTTTCTTTGAGGTAAGATGCCCTCTGCCATGCTGCTGGGGATCACTATCAATTTTTAAGTAAATAAACATCTAAGATGATGGTGGGAAGGTAGGAGAATTTTGCAGAGAGAAATTATCATTTGCATGTAGACATCTAGGGCCAAATTCCTTCTTTTAGAAGTTCACACTAAACTCAATAAGAAACCCATAAGGCTATCCCAGGACAAAACTCAAAGGATCAAGTATGAATAAATAAGTTGCAGTTTAGTTTCTCCCTGGCTTTGAATTCAAAGGAAGGATTATCTGTACAGTTTTCCATCTGTTCTGTTGTTATCCTCAGAAATATTAATTTTGGCTCCAGAGCTTAGTAGCATTGAAACTTAAAGGGTTAGTAACTCTTTTGGTAAACCATTGATATGCTAGTTCACACCAGCTGAGGATCTATCCCGAAAGTCTGAAAACAAATTGCCATGCTATGTAGCTCATTGTGTCTACAGTTGCTTTCTAACAACAGAGTCAAGCTATAGTAGCCAGACTCCAGGATTTATTCCTGATTTGGTTAAGGCAGTAAAAAGTATCTGATGATGTTCTCTAATTTACACCTCTTAACCAAAAAGTCATGTCAAGGCAGCAGGTTCTGTGGTCTGGAGAGAAACGGGTGTGTTCTTTTCAACAAAGAGGCCAAAGCCTCCAGTGTTAAAGTGGTCAGTTGCCCTTGGCATTTATCCCTTTATTAGCCCAATAAATGTTTAAAGTGTGGGGGGGGGAAGACATGGTGGAGAGGGCAATGGAAAACTGCACCTTGTCTCCCTCCTCTGATTAAAACAAAGAGCAGACTGTCCCACATGGGAAAACTGGGATTTGATCTAAGCAGTAGAAGCTGTACAAGGAGCAGCAGGAGGTGCTACACTGGTGAGTTTCTATAGCTCTTAGCTTTTCCACTGGTTTGTGTCCCATTGTCCCAATATAAGGCAATGTACTGTGAAGACCTGCAACTGTGACCAGCTGGACTAGTGAGCTCCCACTCTTCTTCTGATCTATTATGACCATGGAGCAGAATGTGCTGGTGATGTTTGCAAAGGAGAGGGGACCCCATAAACTGGGTTGTTTAATGCTTCCATGCTTTAAACAAATTGTGAGTTCAAGAAGCTGCCATTCCAAAATAACTGGCATTTTATGTATGTGGCATACTTCAGTTCCCTGCATTTAACCACCGCTTGTATTTACCTGCAAAATGATAACAGCAGCTTTTTGGTAACCAAATGGCAAGCATGCATGCTTAGCAAATATCAAATTTAATTTAATTTATTAGCATGCTACATTCCAGCAGTTGCATGTAGCTATTGGCAATGAGAAGTATCTCACCCAAAGCAATACCAGAGTTGTGTGGTCTTTTAAATTATGCAGTGCTTAATCCCACAAAGAGTATCACCTAGTTTTAGACATATGGAAACAGTAATTTCCCTTGAAACAGTAGTTTCAAATATGCAGTCATCTTAAAATATCCAGTCTGAAAGGGTATTATTTCATTACAACCAAGTTGTCCCACTATTCTTTAAAGTATTATCTCGGGTCGTTTGTAGGTGACACCTTTAAAGCGTGTTAAATGCCTTTTGCACTGCTTTAAGGGCGTTACTGACTGCACATTCAGCGGCGTATAGTGCATTAATTCCAGCCGCTGTAGCACATTTGGTGGCTTAATGCGCCTTAAATGACTTTGGGACGCAGCAAATGACTTTGGGGCACTGCAAAGTAAAATGCCTCCGAGGAGTTTTAGTTTCCTACCCTACAGCCGTGGAGGGAAGCACCAGGTTCCGTGCGGCTCAGGGGCTGTGCAGGCAGCAGCCTGGGAAGGCAGGTTCCACAGAAGGGGGGGGTGGGGGGGGAAGCAGTGAGCCTAATCTTTTTTTTCTTCTTGCCCGGAGCCTGCCTGCCTGCCTGAGCTGTGTGAGGGCCTGGTGCTACCCACTACAGCTGTGGTGCCCCCCCAGGACTGCCTGGGCCAGGTGTCTGCGGGCAGATGCCACATGCAGGAGGGCTGCCTCTGCCACAGAGGGAAGCACCAGGCCCCCCTCTTCCTCCCCACCCTGCAGCTCAGG